TGAGGTAGACTACTAGATAGCGGTAAAATTTTAAACTACAGTTGTGACTAATATCTTTTGGTATTTCGATTCACGTTGAGACTAGAGGCATAAATCTTCATTGTCACACTCCCTCAGGATTAGAGCCCAACCGGTATATATGCCCGATATTGCGTGTTTGCCGATATATCATATCGGCAATAAACGGCCGATATATATTGGCAATAAACGGCCGATATATATATATTGGCAATAAACGGCCGATATATATATCGGCTATATATAACAGTTAAAAAACCTAAAAATGTTCGTAAAAGTTGTTTTATTTACTGTTGGTTGTGATTATTTTTAATGGATAAAACACTTATGTGGTTTATTGTTTTTATAATTAAATTACACATTAGGGAGCACCAAAGTCTTCAGTGCTTGGGGACCAGAGGGGCTTAATCCGTCCCTGGTCGTAGTGACCTATTTAGGCCTAACCCTAACCTGGTACACATACTACGGAAGTACCGAAAAAGGTATATTCGATAATGTGTTGTCAATGTTAATTTAATTCGAAATACCACAAAGCAGGGGTGGCCAATCTGCTTTCGATCGCGATCGACTAAAATTTTCAAACTTGCTCGCGATCGACTGATCGGTAATAAGGACAAAATGAATGAGTACTAAATATGCAGATAACTGCACAAATACAAAAATTCCACCGCTGCCAATAAGCTGGGCTCCGTGTGCGCATTCTAATGAAATCGTCACAAAAATTTGCATTTTTTATGCCCCATTCATTTTGTTATTTTGATTATGTAATTGTACCCGGAGTAAATGTTTCATCATTTATTTTAGATTTATTCAAATTATACAATTCAGATCTGAGGTCTGCCTAATTATAAGTCGTTAAAAATTCCTTATGAAACCTTATACAAGTATCCATGTAATATCTAAACAGCGAAAAATAAATATTTTCAAACTATATATGTTAGATGACTGATCAAACTTCAGCAGTATATCTAATTTACAAATCCAAGTCCGATTTTTTGCTCGCGTAAAAAAATCGGGCATTCTGATGTCACTGCTTACATTTGCGAATAAAATTTATCACACTACTCTTGCCAAAAGTCTCATGGAGTGAGGCAATAACTTTCGCGTACTGCAGAAGCTATTGTTTGTAGGATCGTTTGTCAGTCAAGACACTCGATAATCGGCACGTTCATTGTTAAACTTTGATAGCGGCGAAAATTTCATTTGTTACGTAATAATATGCTCTTTCAAAGTCTCGCAACTACAGTATATCAAATGTACGGAATGTTGAAGCATTGGGAAATATCTCATGCAATACGTGTTAATTGACTTCGTGGCAAGGATGGTCAGCAAATATTACCAGTTTAGCTTCATATAAGAGGCATAATTGCAGTCTGTGTATATTTGATGGCATTTCGTAACAACAAACTTGTAGTAAACATACCACCTGTGGCGATGCATGGACGTTGGGATTTGATGTTTTCTATTTTTGGTATGGCATGTATTGATTCCAAAAAAACACACTCCCATATCATTTTCAGTAATGGGCCGAACTAATGATCTGTACAATGACAAAATAGGTGATTTGTTAGCTCCCACGATCAAATCTTCAATTCCGAATCCAATGTGTCATAGTACACCACTTCCCTGTCGTCTGCAAACAACCCAACATTATGTGGTAGATTAGTACTAGATATATTGTTTATCATTATATTGAAAAGCAGTGGGATAATTACGCTCCCTTGAGAAATTCCGTCTTCTAATAAGAAATTACTTGGAGGACTACTGCCTTTACTTACTAGTTTTAAACCTACCTTTAATTGAACGATTAAACAGAAAATATACCACGAAAAGCCAAATTTTCCCAGTCTCACCAGTCACCAATTGCATGTCTAAGATATAGGCATTATGACGACGGCTGGTATTTTTGTTTGTTGGATTCAGGAATCGGAATTACAATATAGCGCTTCCATGCATTCGGAATACTTCCTTTGTTAAAATTAAATTGAACAGTTTGGGTAATATGTTTTACATTCCGTTGGTAAATACATGAGCATCGCGTAGGCCTATAGCTAAATTTGTTTTGCTTGTTTTTAAAACGTGGTGAAGTTCTTTTATTGTGAAATTTTCATCAAATTCGGGATTAGTCTTGAATATTGCGAGGTTTCGAAAGCGATCTGTCTTGGAAGAAGTGTGATATTTAGTTTTTATTGCTACTGACGCTGATAACGAACACCCAATAACCTGTGAATTTGCTTTCATTGCTCCTATACCATAGCATAGCGCATAAGACCCGTTATTTGTTTGTATACCCTACTTTTAGTGAAGCGCCTAACCGTTATCCATATTTTGCTGAGTTTTTCCTTCTGGTCAGTGAGCTATTATTGAACACACTATATACATCGAGAACAGTAAATTGTCTGCAACAGATAATGTATTTCTAATGGGCAAGCTCGTCATTGTGCGATCAAGATATTTTTATTTTATTTCTGTATTGCAATTTAATGACATTGTGGATTGAATGTTATTGTGATGAATTTCATACTGTATTAGAATAAGTAGTTCACAAATTAAATGAGAGCACGGACACTGGTTCATTCGAACTGTTTGAGCCAACAATGCAGATAGATATCTCCGCGTACAAATGAAAAACCCAAAGACAATTTGCGAAAAACGAAATGAAAGATGTGGACATCCTAACAAAGAGAATTGAAAACAGGGAGATAAAAAGTCAAATGGCACAATACATGGGACCAAGTAAGACTGGCTAAAGTATAATACATACAAATTGATAGATGACAATACATCTAAATAAAAAACTCAAAAATAGAACGAATCCAAACAAAGAAAATTCAAAACAGTGCAACATAATTCTGAAATTTTGATGGAACAAAATGTAAAAAAATACAAACAAATAGTTTTCCCCAAAGTGATAATAGGCTAAAAAATAAATGAGTGCACATTCTAAAAAAGAGATTGGAAACAGAACAAGAAATAAAGGCAAATGGCGCAAAAGAGTGAGTCAAGAATGGCTGGCACAAATGGATAGATTACCATACATCCAAATAGAAAACCAAACGAATAATTGGACAAAAACCAAATGTATGATATGCAAATTCTAACAAATAGAATTATTGCAGTGCAGTAAACCTGAAAATTGAAATAAATCGAAGTGCAAAAAATGCAAACGGACAGATGGTTGGCTAAAACTTATACTTATAAAATCTATCTTGTGGGCAATCTGACGTTGCAGTTCTCAAATTTTTGGGTTTTATCGCTTGTGTCGAATCTGACCGTGATTCAGTGAATACACAAGATGATATCCGCAACAGCAAAAATGTTGCCCTCCTCAAGGATGATATGCTTGGAAAATTCAAAACCGAATGACATTTCCTTAATTTATCCTTTCCAAGTCACCGCGGCGCGGTGGCGGCGGTGTGGCTCAACGGGCTAAGCGTTAGGAATACGCTCGCCACCGCACCTCTAATTACTCTGTGTGGGTTCGCAGGTTCGGATCACATGCAGGGATGGTTATGTGCGAGAGGATTACTGGACTCGCCGTCGTTGGGTGGTTCACGTAATCGCTGGTCGAAAACAAACAATGCTTCCGAAAACAAACAATATAATTAATCCCATACCCGACTTGGAATGGTAACCGGACGAGAGGCCGTGGTTCGCCATATGGATAAGCCGCCTTATCGGCTTTCCTCTCCCCGGGATAAATATGTAAATCCATCCACAGTTTCATTAGAGTACAGTTTGCTAAAAAAGGTATCACGACAATCAGATAACAAAAAGTTTTAAAAGTTCCGTACGTGAAATTATTTTGTTCTGCGACCTCCAGGTTGGGGACCACTGAGATGTAGCAAAACGAAGATGTAGTGGAGTCAACGACTAACACACAGCAGCATACTCAGATGTTGGGATGCAGCCGCGAACTAACTATTTATCAAACCACAGCAAAACAATCCATAGATCCACTTGGTGTCCAAAAAGTAACTTACCGTAGTTGGATCTCTGTTGTTGCTGGGTTGGGACAAGTTCTCAGTTTGGGCCGGATTGTTATTTAACGTCACATGATTCGCGGAATTAAGTTGAAAGGACATTAGTTTTGTCATTATGCCTATTACCGTTAGATATGGTACGGTACCGGTATCGTAAATTGTACCGGTAGTAATTCTGTTACTTCAGTACCGTACTTGTCTGCACAGACTACCGGTACAGAAAGAGTGTGAACGCGGGTACGGTTCAATACGGTACAATACAGGTAGAATAGGATTTACATATTTACCGTATTTCGTGGGAGAGAAAAGTCGATAAGACGGCTTAACCATATGGCGGACCACGGCCTCTTGTACCGTTACGCTACTGCGGTAGGCTACCATTCCATGTCGAGTACGGTACCGGTATGGGATTAGTTACCGTACCGGTACTTCTGTATTTGTTTTTGGAAGCATGGACTTGATACCGGTATTGTATAGTGGAGGTAGCCGTAACCGACCAGCGGTTACGTGAACCACCCTACTGCGGCAAGGACAAGGAGTCCAGCAATCCTTTCGCACATAACCATCCCTGACTCTGCATGGGATTCGAAGCTGCGAACCCGCGCAGAGTAATGAGAGATGCGGTGGCACGTTCGTAACCCGCACACCGCCGCGCCGTATGTAGGCTGTTAATCATTTGTGTGCGTAGAACTTATTTAAAATCATTTATTCATGTAAAGTTTCAATGGCAATTGTAAAATGAGATCATCCTGTCATCAGTAAATCAGACAACAAAACAATCTCTTTGGAAACACTTATTTCTCATTGTTTTCAATCATCACGAAAATTGAGTCAAGAAGTTTTTCTTCTTTCCCAGTATTCTGGTATTTAATGCACAACTTGCACTAACATGGCTAACTTATATCCTTTAGCTTTATTCATGAATTGCCTCGACTGATTTAATTCTGTAATTTGTAGTTCCATTTATATGTAATAATATTATAGTTGCTGACCTGTATTTATTGTATATTAACAGATTTGGCCAACAACATTTTTTTAAATTAGTGCCCTCCATGGCTGATGGTGGAGAATTACAAAAAGTTTTTGAACTGTGTGGCCCTGATGAAGAAGGATATATATTAACCGATTTTTTAGCAGATAAATTAGCGGAGCAATTGGATAACCAGGATTTGGATACAATCAAGGGTGTGTTAGATCCAAAAAGGTTTGAATCCTTATTAAATCATTATAGAAATAAGCATTGGTAAACTGTTTTGTTATTCAAAAACACCGTATTTAATCATTCTTTTGGATTTCCATAATTGGTATCAAGAATTGAGTTTCTCAAAAATATGCTTGAACTTATTAATATTAATAATATATTATTGTGATTGTTCATGTGTCTCAACTCTAAGTTGATTTTTTGCATTCTTACAAACTTGAAAGGCCATGACCATGAACACTATATCTTCATGTTCTTTACCATTTTGCTCAGTTGTTTTATTTTAAATATGCAGGAGAGGAAAAATATCTTTTGATCAATTTAAAACTGCGATAACTGAGATTCAAGAATCTTCTGATCAAGTTACAAGTTTGCCTGAACCTTCTGCTGACTACAGAATAAATGGCAGCGGATTGACTGAAGATATAGAACATTGTTCACTAGACAAACTTATAGACAATGACGAGAAAATCAGGCACGGTAGTCCAGGTCCAGAAAGCTCGTTTCAGCCGAAAACGAGTACCCCATATTATAAAGACGACGAAGCATCCATTTCAGATCCTGAAAATACATACAACGAGTACGACGTTCCAGACTGTGACGACATGGCACATTCAGTCAATGGAGATGATTTCATGGAAAGCTTTGAAGCTGTAGGTGAATCACCTAATGGATTTAAAAGTCGAAGAAATCCAGAACATCTCAGTTTACCCCAGGTATTTGAGTCTGATATTTACTATGATGTAGCAAGACAGAATGTTCAGAGACCTTCGTGTAGATGGATATCAAAAATTCAAATAATTTTTTTCAAGTTGGCATATTATGAGTAGGTTGTGAAAATGTGTGTCTGAAATATATTTGTAATTCATATTTTATAAAGTGGAATTTGCTGCATTGGAAAAATTGAATTAATTAGAAGAAAATTTCTATAAAATTTCTGCATATATTCACTGCATTTATCTTATCAATATCTTGGCTTGCACTCTTTCTTTAGGAATATTCTATTATTAACAGTATTTACACATAGCTTTGGCGAAGTATATATTTCTATTTTCAAAATTAGTTGATTATGTACTCATTTGTAGGTTATTTTGTATTATAGATTGTCATTTAACTGTTTGAGGCAATGAGGCCCATTACATTTTTTGAGTTTACTAAAAGTTGTGATATCATATTCATTTTTAGTTTCTTATGAATGTCAATTGTTGATAAAGATATAGATTTCAATAAAATAAACTTGCTTGGCATAATTTGATTAGATATCTTAACACCTTTTTTTATCTAGTCTTTTATTTTCATTTTTTACTTATTGTTCACACCAAATGACATGATTGAGGTAATACCAAAAAGAGCACTTATCACCTTATTTTTTATAAACACCTCAAAGGAATCCAACTTCAGGAGGCATGGCAGCATGAGAAGAAGTCACAGAAGAGCACATAGCCTGACTATGCGTGGTGCATCACCGGGACTTGTGTCAGATGATCCGAGTTTACTCGATGAAACATCATCTGTCACCTCAGATTTAGAAGATCTATCAGAAAAAGTCGACATACTACAAGTAAATTCTCTCTATGGCTGGCCTGTATTGAGTTATATTTAATATGCTTCATCGAAGCAATGTTTATTAATTTCTGTTATTAAAATAGGAGGTACTCAATAAATTGTTTTCTTTTACAACATTTGCAACAAAAATTAATAATGAGTATTATATCATGACTTTTCTGAGCAATGCATGGAATGACAATTACAAAACAATTTAGTTAAAGAGTTAAATTCCTGTACATTTGTATATTGTATTTTATGAACTTTTACTAGGACCATGTTGCAAAATTGACGGAAGAGAAAAAACTGCAGGCACAATATGAAGCTGTAAATAATGAAAAACAGCAGCTTATACTCAGAAATCATGAACTCGAAGAACGTTTGGTCAATTCTGAGGAAAAAGTGAATTATCTTAGAAAAGATTCCGAACTTAAGTTGGAAGATTTGAGAACGAAATTAACAAGGGAACACCAGCTGGTTTTGGAAGTTTTGCAGGTATATCAAAATTGAATATTTCAATTATAAAATTACATACTTTTTTGGGACCTCCTGAAGTATGCGCACCAAGATGTCGCACAACCTGAACCTAACCTGGTACACAACCTGAGTTCAGGTTGTGCGCCATCTTGGTGTGCATACTTCAGGAGGTCCCTTTTTTGTGCATGATTCACTTGGTAGACTTGCTTCTTTCTTAGTTTGGATATTCAATTTTTACTGTTTCTAAATATAATTATATATTTCAGGGAAAATTAAATAGTTCTGAAAATGAATATAACCGCTTAACTTGCGAATTTGGTGAAGTAAAGGCTTTATTGAATCAAATGAAAGAAGAAAATATTTTGTTGCAAACTAAAGTGGAAGGACTTACTTCTCAGGTAGGACACTAAATGTTGTATATGGTTACTAATTATATAAATATATGTACTGGAAGTCTTCTAGACTAGTATATTGATGTTATTCTGGGATTATTCCTCCTCAATCAGAATTATTGTTCTGGTTTTATGTAACCAAGCAGCCATAGTGGTTCGCTATTGGTCTATAATTTATCTTTTTCAGTTTGAATTTGTCTAGTGTGATCTGCAGGTAGGATTTTGTCAGAAATATGGTGGGGTTATATCTATATAATCTTTTGTCAGGTGCATCAGAATATACTTATTAGTCAATGGTTCACACAGCAAAACATTGACATAATGCTGATTTCCCCTTTTAAATATTGAAGCATTATTATAAATAAAAGCTGGATTAAAACATGATTTGTTGGTTCTCTTTGATTGACTAAATTGTCTCCTATTTATATATATATTACCAATGTTGTGCTTACTTGTTTTTTTTTAGTTTTTTTAAACTGGTTATTGTGAAAATATAGTTGACGAGAAGAGATATGAATATTTATAGCAGCTTAGCTTTTAAAAAATTGTCAATATTTCATATAGACTTACTATGTATGATAATTGTCAATCAATAATTAGCGTATTTGTTGCCATGTCTATGTCTAATGAACATTGCGTTTTTATTAGTAGCATTTTACGATTAAATTATATAACTTTCATAGATATACTTTAATAATAATAAAAGTTAATGTTGTTTCATTATTAGTTACAATGTTAGGGGACAGAAAATTTAGTTAATAAGGTGATAAACTTATCGACTGAAAATTCAGTGAAATAAATATAAAATATTATTACTGAAACTTACTAGATGTCTAAGGCTCGTGTCGTTCGATTTATATTATTTTCTACCTGTAAGTTTAATTGCAATGCGAATTTGGTAGTAGTAATATTGAATTTCTTTGAAACTGACATTTTTGCATTGATTAAATGACATTGTTCAGAAATTACTGCATTGAATCCTCCATTTTTAAGTATTTTACTTTATTTCAAAGAATTCTGGTACTATTGCTCTGTATTAGCTGCTAGCACAATATTCACAATACAGTCAATAATTAACAATAATGCTAAAGTTCATGTCACGTTACACTGATAATAAACTTCATGTTTGCGAGAATAAAAAATCAGAATTCTAGTTTAATTAAAATATCATTCTGTTCATTGCAATTTCATCCAATATAGCGGTTTACTTCTGTTATACACAAGAATAGTCAAATTTAGGAAGTAAGAGTTATCCGGAAATCAGAAAGGATGATTTTTGTCTACTTACATAGATATCTTTTGTGTGAATTATCTACTTTCATCACTTTGTTGATTTCTTCCACACACATTCAGTTTGATAGGTGTTATGCGCATATAACAAAGATTTTTAATGCAGGGATTATCTTAAATGCGATATGAGTAAACATGCATTTAGTTGAATTATATCGAAGCTGTGTGAACTATTTCGTGATTTCAATGTTCATCTTATTTCAAAGGCTTAAAAACATTACCAGTCATTTTTAATTTTTAAATTAATCTATTATCACAAAAAACATTCATACTACATGAAAATATGAATTTCTTAAAAATTTATGCAGTTTAATATTGCTTCCTCTAATAAGACCAGGTCGTTTTTAAATGCTCCTAATTTTCAGGTGTTCTTATTTACCTCACTTAACAAAATATTTTATTCCACTTGTTTATAATTTCTAGGTTATGCAAACAAACGAGGAATACAGGAGATTAAATAACCAGTTCAATGCAAACAGAGAACGAGCTGAGGAAGATAAAGCAGATTTACAAGACATGAATGAGAAATTGAGAATTGACTTGGAGGTTGGTGTGTTTATTTACTTGTTATAGCTCAATCTGGTGATATACATCGTAATGGTTTTAAATGCTGCAAAATAAGGTAGTCTGTCCACTGTTACAGAAGAATTCGTAATGACTGACTTATTCTCTAATTGTGATCGACAGGGAATTATTACCTCCAGCAGAGATGTATAATGAGCTCTGTTTTTGATCATTTTCAGAATTTAAATATCTTCTAAATTGACTGTATTGATTATTATTAAAACCCCATAAAATCCTTGCATATTGCATAATCCTATATTTGTGAGGTCTTTGTTTGCTTCAAGTAAATACAGTGGAATAATATGTTCACTGTGGTGCTATCACAGCTTTTAAATGATTCCAAGAATATTGGCATATTAGTGACGTAATTCAACATATAAGTAAAACTAATTTTTGAATCTGTAATCTCCAACTTGTGTGTCTTTGTAAATATGACATAAGCCCGAATTCCTATAAATGTTCTACAGAATTTAATGCAATCATTCTCACTATGCTTGGGTTTGGGAATTTTTCTAAATGTGTGAACTGAAAACAACCGACTAATGACATTTGCTATCTTTTTTAAACATAAAGAACACTGTTACTTATTTTACAGATTTAATATTTTTGATCAAGTTTTAAACTTGTTACGAAATATTACACACAGACATATTAAATAGTTTTGTGGTCCTCTCTGGCAGTCTCTGCCCCCTGTGGCTCTTGAAAAACAATCCAAATTTCTGAAAAACATTAAAATTTTTAATCTCATAATTCAATAATATTACATTGATGTTTAGGAGACAATGGCAGATAAAAATGCCCTTGTCGAAAGATTAAACAGCATGGATTTATCTCAGTCTCCAAGTGCCGCTATGCTATCTGCTAAACTTTCAAACTTGGAGATGGAAAATGAGAGATTAAAAAATGCAAATGACGATTTGAATGTTCAACTTGCACGAAATATTGTCGATGCAAGGACATTGATGGGTAGTGCACCCGTAGATTCAATCGCAGATGAAATGGCCTCTGCCACGAGAGATGAGGTTGTTGAAGCCTTACAGAAAACAGAGCATGAGAATGCGCAGCTAAGGCAATATTTGGACAAAATTATCCTAAGCGTACTAGAAAAAGATCCAAGCATTTTAGAGATTAAATAAATTTTTATTTTAGTTCCTTAGTGTTTGTTTAATTTCTGATCTTTTGAATTCATCATGTTTTTGTATTTTTTAAATTTCTGTTTTGATTTTTTTTAAACATATAATTTATTGTCATTATACAGTATTCAAACAATTTTATCAACTTTTCCTTAGCTATAGCTTCACAGAAATGCCAATCTCTTGGAGTAAATATAAAAACTATTTTTGGTTGTATGACTTTGAAAGACCCTAATTTTGCATGATTGTCACATTTGATAAGGTATTTATTTTTGTACTGCAGCAAAGAAATAAACATCAATTATTCATTTTGTATACCCACTGAGCAAAAGCAATATAAACTCAAAGCTATAATATATAATTTAAAGCCCAATAAATATGTGCTATTAGGGCACGCCCATGTACTTTTGTATCAAAGAATGGTTACATGATCATAAATTTTCAATAATGTCATTATGACATCACAACACTATTTGGTAAAACCCAAATTGTTTTCTCTACTTGCTTATGTCAGGACTTTTCTCTTGCGTAAGCATTGCATCTTTGCATTGTACGTCATGTTAATCCCAACAATAGCCTGGGGTGCTTTACACTCTTCACAAATTTTATGAACGAAAATGAAACTTTCTTCATACAATAGGACGCATTACGAGATTATAAACACCATTTTTTATTATGAATTACATTATACATCCCATTTTTTTTTTTTTTTTTTTTTTATTTAAATTCAGTGTGTGTGCATTATGTGTTTTATACCTTTTAGAAGTAGTTGTATTGTGTCAATCCTTCCGCAAATTGGATTTTTTTAATGATTATATAATGACCGATTTAAACCTATTAATTAATTAAGGTAACCCCACCTTGTAATGTACAAATTCACAAACCACAATCCATTAGATATGGTATTGGCTGTGTGATGGAAATGGTACACTGACTTGACTTCTTATGAGTTATCAGATGAAATACACGTAATGCCATTTAATACCTATATATTCAGATTGTGAATTTGTTTCTAAAAATAAATCTTTTCTCTGTCTCGTTTGACGCTATATCGCTCTCGAATTCATAATACAGCTTGTTTGTTTTGTCAATAATACAAAGCGTTTTTGTTAATCAGTATTCTAGTAACACGTTTCTATTGTTTACTTTGCTATGCGGTACTAAACGAGGCTTATTTTCTCAATCGATTGTAAAAGTCATATGATTTTATATTTGTTGAAAGAATGAAATGAAATTTGGTGCTATGCTTCAATTTATCAATACATTTTTTTTTTACCAAGAACACTAAATTACTATGATTCATCAATATTGTATATGTCATTTCTAAGAAGCATTGTAACCATAATAATAGAATTGTACAATCAGTATTTGATGAAGTCATGGCAGATTTAAGGTACATCAACCTTTGATTTTTGTGATGCTCTTGAAATCATTATGATGTTATTTTGAAATTATATATTATAGTCCATGAAACATAATTTTCTTTATAATGTTTTAGGAATAACAATACACCAACTATAGAGGTAGAGAATTCACAAAGTTATGTTAACATGGTGTGATACAAACTTTTCAGCATGATTAAAACTCACTTAGGAATTTTTTTGAGCTTTATGAATGGTACTTCACTTGTGCACTTCATTCTTACTGAAGTAGAGGCAGGATCCACGAGGTTATCGGCCATTGAATTTCATACTTGAGTGTGCCATGTTTTGTGTTTGTAGTAAAAGCTCACAACTGAAATTTCCTCAGAAGTGCTCTTTTAATTTTGCCCTGTACTTGTCATTGTCATAACAAAGTCAACCTACTTACAAAACTATCCTTATGCTGCCTGTTAATTCATCATAGGTTGAGATTAAGAAATGGTCCATATAGTGACCAAATAGAGGTATTGTCCACTTTGGGAAATTTGACATGAAAAAAAAAACATTTTTTGATTCATTTTGCCGAAGACAAATAATTTTTTAGAAATAGCTCTCTTTTTCGTAGAATGTAGGTAGTATGTTTTAATATTTACTGGTAATGGCATATGACGTCAGTACTGATGCTGTCCAAGAGTTGCTAAATTATTAGCAGAAATCAATATGCTTGCCACCATTTTAACGCTTGCTAATAGTATATTCAGTTCTCAAAATTCAGCATTCAAGCTTTATACTTTTCATATTGATATCAATCAATTGATATTGAGTTCGGACTGTTCATTGCAGTATCAATTCATAATTCTTCGTGTCAAAGCCACTCTAAATAAATAATTTAACATGGATCAAGTTGTTTTCAAAGAGCTGAATAAATTATGTAGTAGAATCGTCTTTTAACTTTTTTATTTGAAAGAAACTGTCTTTTCTCATATACAGTTCTACATTCGCGCATTGTTGACTTTCCAATTCACCATGAAATATTGATGGGACCCAGTCACTGTTATAGGAGGCTACTTTAAAAACTGAACATTATAATATAGATTACACTCATATTATTGATGTGTTTCTAATGGTTATAAGTTTTGTCTTGTGTAGATGTAAATGTGGCCTTTCCTCAATTGTTTTATGTAATACTAATAATGATTCTTCGTTACCAACTGACCTCAACAAAGTAATGAAAAAAAAAAATCTTTAATTTCGATGATCATGTTTGTGTCGCAGTACTGTAATTGTTGAACTATGACCTTATAGGAATAACAATCTAATTAAGGACTGGTATATCCCCATTGTTCCAGTGGGTTTACAAAGATTTGCTCTTATATCTTACTCACAATGTCATAAATTTGGGTGTAGCGTGTAATTACCATTTACAGCTCGTGTAACATATCATTTATTACCAGCCTTCTGTCAACAATAATACATGGATGTATAAATCACAGATCTCCTTCTTAAGAGGTTTTTATTCCCAGATAATCTCTTCATGAACTTGCATTTGCTTTTACGATATAGCGTTTGATCATTGATCCATGAGGGTAGGAATCAATAAATATTAATTGTGAACTCATGCTTGGTACTATTATATTGATTAGTATATTGTGGATATTTATTGGTTCTGATATAATGCATTTGGACATTTTTACCTTGTGATTGGCTTCTCCCAAATTCTCACTTTTGTGCCAAAGTGTTATTGATTGTTAGAATACTATTTCGCTGAATCAAAATTAAATACCTAACATTTTGAAGCGAATAAGCTGAGACATTTTCAATCCTTGTATGCCAATTATAACTGGGATGCAGATAATAAATTCATATTTAATTATTAATCCGAAATACAGCACTAAATTATTTTTCCATGAATTTTTGTTTTGCCATATTCCATTCCAACTATAGTCATTGGTGAATACAATGATATGTTATTAATGTAACTGGCAATACTCTCAGCCTACATTTATTATCGAATTTGTATTGTTATATGTGCATGATATTTTCATTTTATCAACATTGAAAGAACTTTCAAAATTTTTAACTTATATCTTAAAAATGTAAGATATACAAGCTGGTTGAAAATTTATTGGTATACAATGCTGTTTAATAGTCTATTTTTCAACTGTGAGTTTTGTTCGTTGGTTTTTCATTTCATACGAATACATTAAAAATTTCCTTATCTTGGTCAGAATTAATTTTTGTAAACTTGATTAATGAATACGATACAAATATGTTCTGACTGGGATTGTTTTTATTGTACTCAACATTTTTCTACTTGATGCATGATGTAATATCAACAAGTTTCATATCAATATTTGCAATATCACTGTGATCGCTGACCACAATTGTTGGCGACTTTGCTTGAACTATCACCTTGTTTGCAATTGTTCACTGTTCAAGTATGATTGATTTTGCCTGAAATTGTAATCTGTGCTTGGCCGTTTTCGTCTTCATATTTCCCAACTTTTGGATATGAAATTATTCTAATATCAAACTGCATTATACTCTATGATGGGATTGTTTGAAATTGTAAGTTTCAAAATCATTTTTATTTCAATCTATGAATAATCAGTGACATCAAATATTTTGAATGTTATTTCATTTATGACAAACTCATTAACCACCCATTACTCAAGTCTAAAGCGGACTGAGGGTATTTATAAAACCTGATCGCAATTCTCTGAAAACAAACAATCTGATCAATATTCTTAAACATATCTTGAGTTTAATTATAATTTGTATCTTGGCGACTGTTATTTAAAAATATCACATTTTACAGCTTAGAAAATAATTGTTACATTGATTTTCAATACTTTATGTAAGATCATGTGCAAACCTTTATCACACCAAAGTTCTCTGCACAACTGTTAAAACAATTTTTTGCAGGCAGTGGAAAAGTTGTATTTCCTTAACGTTTGCTAAACCAATAGAGATAGAGTAGCTACCAATTAGCATTGTGTGGTGTGATTTTGAAAATAAAAAGCAGTTATTTTTGTGTAATCATATTTTTTGCAGATGAGTAATGGAGAGTCTACTAGCGGGTTGTAGCATAGACTGATAGGGCAAATGCAGTTGGTTTTGTGCATTCAAAACCCAATCCACCTCACATTTTTTGGTTTCGCTATGAAACATCAGGTTGTAACATAAACGTTGTGAAGGATATGAACCAATGATAAACGTAGGTGCAAGCAGAGGAAATTATTTTCATAGCATTCACTATGTGTAAAAATTTACCGCCGTAATTAGATAGCAATGATGCTACAGATACCAAAGAAATTGTTTGTCTTCAAATAATATTTGTAGATTACTGATGCTGAGCTACCTGCAGATCATGCAACAGAGTGTCTCTAAAAACCATTTTACATGCTCAGTGCCAGTGGTCGGCAACCACCGGGCCGCGGCCCATCGCCGGTCCGCGGAAAGGTTACTACCGGTCCGCAGAGAGGTGACCAATTCCCATGTCATTATGTCGCATTGACGCTGGGTCAATTGTTTCCCCAACGCCCGTATAAGAAAGTCTCACATCAGTCGAAATAAGATCTATCGAACAAAATGATTCTAGCTAGGGACGTGACTAGTGACTACTCCACTACTTGTTCATAGCTAACCGGTCATGACTAGTCAGTGCTAATTCTATACTTCAGGAATTAGGATAATCATAAAGGTAACACATTGGGTAAAAAATTAGTTATGGCAAAACAACCAATAATAAAATCCAATGGCGGCGCGTGGTCATTTTGACAACCGGGGCAAGCTACTGCGGGGCCAAGTCACCCCCATCTACGGGGACAGGATGAGCGCTGTAAGTTCTCCCATCATTTTATGAGTATAAAAACCATTCCATCGGTAACAACCAATCGGCAAAAGCAACAATTTTTAACGATAAGAAAGTGTCTTTAAAACCGGTCCAAGTCAAGGGATTAATAAATATAGAAATAGTTTATTTTGAAACCTCTTTCAGAAGGAAAGGCAATATTTACCCAGATAAATACAATGACATATTAACAGAAACTTCGGGAAAGCAGACAAAACCTAAAATAAGGTTTAAAACGTTACTATGAAGAAAGGAAAGTTAATGCAAAGATAAGGACATGCGTCGCTCACTCATAGATATATATGCTGCTGAATGTTCGCTCTGCGTCGGCGGAAGAAATAGGCGTCGTCAAAATGATGTCCAGAAATTTTGCAGACACCGCAAAGGTAGTTATTAGAGTGTTATCTATGAGGAACCCATAGAGCGCGCAAGTTGATGTGATGTTCAAAAAAGTTTGATTGGTGTATATACATCGCAATTCATTTTCCAATTTACCCGAAAATCGAAAGCAAATGGACTAAAGGTCTCTAACTGATTCAAATAGCGAAACGAGCGACAAAAACGAAGGCGAGGAAACTATCAACTCTTCAAGCAACCAACGAACGAGAAGGAATGCGTGAATATGTCAACACGTTGTTGTAAGAAACGTCGGCATTGTGTCGTCATAATTTCGGGGCTAGCCCCGATGATTTAGTAAAACAAACGAGCCAAACGCGGCGAGTGGAAGATAAAAGAGAGAATACGATATACAATGAGCAACCGGGGCAAAATCGGCGTCGCCCAGTCGACGTTCGGCGAAGGCTTTGCGAGCGAAAAATGAACCATGTCGAGAGAATATGGCTAGTGTAGACACCACTGTGAAGCTAGCAGCATTTTCAGCCAGAATATTTTTACATATTGAATATAGTTTCCACGCGCATATAATGTTCACTTATAGTTACATATAAAGATTGAAAAGGTTGATAAAGTATAATTTTACCACGGAAATACATGAAAAAATCTCTAAACTGGATGAATACAACGAATTTGACTAAAAAATAGTGTTTTAAAAAAGACTAAGTGATTTAAAAATGATTTTTCAGGTATACAAGATTATTATCGTTTTTGGAACGTCGATTTCTCGAAAACGGCCAATAAAGACAGCCCCATGATACATTCGGAGAAAAGCAGATACCTTATAGATTCGAATTCACTATACCAGAACAGTAGCAGAACGTTTTGACTTGGCCATATACAATACCAAACATAGCGTATATTATTCAATTTTATAAACAATGTGGACATCATAAAATGGATTTGTATTTCAACTAAATCAGCTACGGTAGGAAATCTAAAGCAACAATGACGTCAGACGAACATTACAATCCGGAGAAGAGGGAGTTGATTTAGTTATTTTAAATTAAAGATACAGTTGTGGGCAAAGTCAAATGAATTTCAACAAAACCTTGGAATTATGTGAATTATTGATTGAATTTGATGATCTGTCGCAAAATTGACGTAACTCATATTTAGCGATTTGGATGATTTTCAAAGCCCAGCAGCAAGTTTATTCGGTCAAGAGGCGGTTGATTTTATTATTTAAATTAAAGATATAGTAATATAAATTGTAAGCAAAGTCGAATGAATTTCAACAAAAACTTATAAACTTTTGAATTTTTCGATTGAGTTTTGATAATCTGACGCAAAATTGACGTTGACTCGTATTTAGCGATTTTCAAAGCCCATCAACAAGTTGTTCCAGTCAAGACGCGGTTGATTTTATTATTTTAAATTAAAGATATAGTCATATAGATTGTAAGCAAAGTCGAATGAATTTCAACAAAAACTTATAAACTTTTGAAATTTTCGATTGGAGTTTTTGATAATCTGACGCAAAATTGACGTAACTCGTATTTATCGATTTTGGTGATTTCAAAGCCCAGCAGCAAGTTGGTCCGGTCAAGAGGCGGTTGATTTTATTATTTTAAATTAAAGATATAGTCATATAGATTGTAAGCAAGTCGAATGAATTTCAACAAAAACTTATAAATCTTTTGAATTTTTCGATTGAGTTAATCTGACCGCAAAATTGACGTAACTCGTATTTAGCGAATTTGGTGATTTTTCAAAGCCCAGCAGCAAGTTGTTCCGGTCAAGAGGCGGTTGATTTTATTATTAAATTAAGATATAGTCATATAGATTGTAAGCAAAGTCGAATGAATTTCAACAAAAACTTATAAACTTTTGGAATTTTTCGATTGAGTTTCGATAATCTGACGCAAAATTGACGTAACTCGTATTTAGCGATTTGGATGATTTTCAAAAGCCCATCAGCATGTTGTTCCGGTCAAGAGGCGGTTGATTTTATTATTTTAAATTGATATAGTCCATATAGATTGTAAGCAAAGCCTGAATGAATTTCAACAAAAAACTTATAAACTTTTGAATTTTTCGATGAGTTTTGATAATCTGACGCAAAATTGACGTGACCTCGGTATTTAGCGATTTTGGTGATTTCAAAGCCCATCAGCAAGTTGTTCCGGTCAAGAGGCGGTTGATTTTATTATTTTAAATTAAAGATATAGTCATATAGATTGTAAGCAAGTCGAATGAATTTCAACAAAAACTTATAAACTTTTTGAATTTTTTCGATTGAGTTTGATATCTGACGCAAAATGGACGTAACTCGTATTTTAGCGATTTTGGTGATTTTCAAAGTCCAGCAGCAAGTTGTACCGGTCAAGAGGCGTTGATTTATTATTTAATTAAGATATAGTCATATAGATGTAAGCAAAGTCGAATGGAATTTTCAACAAAAACTTATAAACTTTTGAATTTTTCGATTGAGTTTTGATAATCTGACGCAAAATTGCACGTAACTCGTATTTAGCGATTTGGTGATTTCAAAGCCCAGCAGCAAGTTGTTCCGGTCAAGAGGCGATTGATTTTATTATTTTAAATTAAAGATATAGTCATATAGATTGTAAGCAAAGTCGAATGAATTTCAACAAAACTTATAAACTTTTGAATTTTTCGATTGAGTTTGATAATCTGACGCAAAATTGGACGTAACTCGTATTTTAGCGATTTGGTGATTTTCAAAGTCCAGCAGCAGTTTGTCCGGTCAAGGAGGCGGTTGATTTATTATTTAAATTAAGATATAGTCATATAGATTGTAAGCAAAGTCGAATGAATTTCAACAAACTTATAAACTTTTGAATTTTTTCGATTGGTTTTGATAATCTGAACGCAAAATTGACGTAACTCGTATTTAGCGATTTGGTGATTTTCAAAGCCAGCAGCAAGTTGTACCGGTCAAGAGGCGGTTGATTTTATTATTTTAAATTAAAGATATAGTCATATAGATTGTAAGCAAAGTCGAATTGAATTTCAACAAAAACTTATAACTTTTGAATTTTTCGAATTGATTTAATCTGACGCAAAATTGACGTAACTCGTATTTAGCGATTTTGGTGATTTTCAAAGCCCAGCAGCAAGTTGTACCGGTCAAGAGGCGGTTGATTTTATTATTTTAAATTAAAGATATAGTCATATAGATTGTAAGCAAAGTCGAATGAATTTCAACAAAACTTATAAACTTTTGAATTTTTCGATTCAGTTTTGATAATCTGACGCAAAATTGACGTAACTCGTATTTAGCGATTTTGGTGATTTTCAAAGCCCAGCAGCAAGTTGTACCGGTCAAGAGGCGGTTGATTTTATTATTTTAAATTAAAGATATAGTCATATAGATTGTAAGCAAAGTCGAATGAATTTCAACAAAAACTTATAAACTTTTGAATTTTTCGATTCAGTTTATCTGACGCAAAATTGACGTAACTCGTATTTAGCGATTTTGGTGATTTTCAAAGCCCACCAGCAAGTTGTACCGGTCAAGAGGCGGTTGATTTTATTATTTTAAATTAAAGATATAGTCATATAGATTGTAAGCAAAGTCGAATGAATTTCAACAAAAACTTATAAACTTTTGAATTTTTCGATTGAGTTTTGATAATCTGACGCAAAATTGACGTGACTCATATTTAGCGATTTTCAAAGCCCATCAGCATGTTGTTCCGGTCAAGAGGCGGTTGATTTTATTATTTTAAATTAAAGATATAGTCATATAGATTGTAAGCAAAGTCGAATGAATTTCAACAAAAACTTATGAACTTTTGAATTTTTCGATTCAGTTAATCTGACGCAA